ACCTGGAGATGCCGCAGCCAGCCGGGGACTGGACTGGGGGGCCCCCACTGCACACAGAACTGGTGCTCAGCCACTGCGGCACAGCGCCTCCCTCTGTGGTTTAGAAGGAGGCCTCTAGTCGCTCTCTCTCCGGATGGCAAGACTAGATCGAAGGGGTGGGAATGACAAGGGAGTCGATATACTGGCTAACTATCAGGAGAAACTCCCTAACTGTGAGAGTGGTTGAGCAGTGGAACAGTCTGCCTAGGGAGGGGGTGGAGGCTCCTTTGCTGGACGTCTCCAAGCGGAGGAGGCTGGACGACCCTCTTTCAGGTAGGGCTCTATTTTGGCTATCCTCCTGCAGAGTGCAGGGGGTTGGACTAGATGACCTGTAAGGTCCCTTCCAACTCTAACATTCTACGATCCTATGATCTTTTAGGGATGCACTGTACTGGACTTCCTTTTGTGCCCCCTCGGGTGGGGGGGGTCCAGCATTATCTACCCTCACAGTCGTAAGTCTGAGTGAATTCCTAAATCTCCCAGCCCCCCTAAGGCTCAGAACCAGTTTCCCCAGCCGTGCTCCAGCCCCGCAACACATGAAATGGTCACAAAAAGGGAGACCTCTGGGCACGTACAGAATGCACCTCCTGCCCCCACCCGCCTACCAGGGGTCCAGATCCAGCGCAGAGTTCCAGGGAGGCACCAGCCCCAGAGCCCTCTCCCTGGGCCCCACTCTGCCCCCGGCCCCCCCCGCCCCCTTGCCCCGGCTCCCCCCCCCACGGGCCTCCCTACCTCCTGGGCCACCAGGCTGGAGAGGCGGACTGCGTGGCGCACCCGAGCGCTTCTGCCCTCCTGCGGACCGCTGCTGTCCTTCCTGCCCGGGGACATGCTGGGGACCGGCCGGAGGGAAGAGGCTCTCTCAAGGCATGGTGCCCGGAGGGAGGGAGCTCTCGGGGGCAGCGGCCCAGGCTCCGAGCCCGGCTGTCGGGCATGGAGAGGGGGAGGCGGCGGCGGCGGTGGCTACATCTGGCCGGCCAGGCTCCACTCTCAGCCCGACAGACGGAGCTGCAGGCAGGGTTTGCCCTCCTCCTGTGCCCACCCACAGGGAGGCCTTGCTGGCTGCCGCCCACTCAGGGACGGCCTCCGCCGTGTCCCCCCCCCCCTCCCCCTCCCCCCGTCACTCACTCCCGGCGCCGCTCTGCTCTGTGGCAGCCGTCCATCCCCCTGCCCTGGCCAGCAAAGGCCCCCCCCCCGGGAGGAATCGGTCCTGAACCCTGGCAAAAGGGGGGGCCCTGGGGGGGCCCTGGCCTCCCCCAAGAGCTCCACGCCATCTGCCTCCTGAGCTCAAGCCACTAGCGCAGGTGCTGCATGCGGGAAAGGAAGGGGCAACGGCTCAGGTGTAGTTCCCCCACTCCCCCCCCCACTGCAGAGTGCACCACTCCCAGTCTCTCCGGGGGGGGGCACCCCACACCCTGCCTTGTGCTCCAGTCCCTAGCTGGGCTGCCCCCTCTGCTGCAGCGCAGTCACCTTGGGCCTGCGCATGGCGGCAGGGGAGGGGCGCTGTGCCTTCGGAGTGTGTCACTGCGGATGCCTCCACAGACAGCTCCCCCCCCACACCACCACCACCAGCAGCCATGAGTTATGGGCCCATAAAGCCGCCTCCTCCGCTGTCCCGGGGACTGCCCACCCCACCCCCTGCTGCTGCCAGTTCACGCACAGCCAGGAGCAGAGACGGGAGCACGGAGCATGGAGCAGCGGAGGCTCCCGCATCGCTTCCGGGCCCCCTCCTTGGCCAGGCCGGGCTCTGCCGTGGTCGCACTGCTGCCTCCTCCTCCTCCTCCTCATGGCCTGGCATGCAGCAGAGGCGGTGGGATCTGGCCTCTGCATTCCCCACGTCTATTTCCCCTCTCTGGGTGCGTCCTCCTCAGCATGCCCCCCCTCCTCTCAAGGAGACCCGTTCCTGTGGCAAGAGCAGAGGCCCAAGGCCAGGCGGAAGGAAGGAGGGCCAGACCCCCCTCTGCCCAGGACCCCCCCCTCTGAGCCGCCTCAGGCCTTGGGGGGGCGGTGAAGCAGAGCAGGGAGGACGGGGGCTCCTCTTCTCCGCCCCCCCTCCCAGAGAGGCCACACTCCTCACTGTCTTCTCTCTGTGCTCTCGCCAGGTGGCCTTTGGCATCTTTGCCTGGCCTTCGCCCCCCGCCCCCGCCCCCCCCGTGGGCAAACACAGAACACACTGTGTTGAAATAATACACACAATATTCACAGGCACTTATAGCTAAATGTATTTGATTTATACACACACCATCAACTCTAGTGTGTTGTAAACACTTGCAAACTACAACATCAACATTTCAAACTCTTTCAAACTGAATGATACCACACAAAGAGTCCAGCATCGCAGAAACCCACTCCAGTGTAAACGGTCTTCTTCCTGACGGAGGATAGATACCAATGTACAGTCACGTGTACCAAACAATGCAGCAACCCACTGTACCTTCCCCAAGTGATGATCCATCAGGTAAAGCCAGCAGGCAGCTTAGCCAGCCAGCCTAGTAGACGTACTTTCCCATGAGGTGATTCAAGCCTAGCAACACGCCTCCCGGGCATAACCTGCCTGTTTCGAACAAATCTTCTTCAGGTATGTACATTTCCCTGGAACCACAGCTCTTGAATTTACCCCTGCATCAGTCAGATAATGTAAAAATGGCTGCTCTGTGAATCATTGTGTTTATTATTTCAACACGGTGTTTTCTGTGTTTACCTAACTTAGCCGTGTTCCCTGTGAGCCTCCAGGTGGGGCCTGGGGATATCTCGCTTTCACTGTGGGTCTCCAGCTGACAGAGATCAGCTCCCCTGGAGAAAATGGCCGCTTTGGAGGGGGGACTCTGTGGCCTGGGACCCCTGCTGAGAGGCCCCTCCCCTCCCCAAGCCCCGCCCTCTCCTGGCTCCACCCCCAAAGTCTCCAGACCTGGCAACCCTACCCCAGTTCCAGCAATGCCCCCCCAGCCACAGTCCTCAACCAAACCGGAGGGTCAATCCAGGCCGCGGCCCCTCCTTCCCTGCCCCAAATCCCAGCCTGGAGAGGGCTGCGGACCACAGCTTCATCCCCAAGACCGCAACGGGACCCCCCACCAGACTCAGCCTCAGCCGGCTTCCTCCCCACTCCCCTGCAGGGGCTCCCACACACACACACACACATACCTGCCTTCAGGCTGAGAAGAAGCGGCGGCGGCAACAGGGTGTGTGTGTGTGTTCCTCCTGCACTTCACAGGCGGTGGGCATGCCTCTACGGAAGGACCAGCCCCCCCCCCCCAGCACAGTCTCACCAGCAGTGCCTGCAAAGGTATTGTTCCTCTGCTGAATCTACCTGTAGCACTTTAGATTTTATGCAGTTTTAAATGGTTTCAAACATTTAATGCAGACAGGCGGGGCGTAAATCTAACAAACAGACAAACAAACAAACAAATAATGTGGTTTCGGTTTCGACTCTCTGCTTTTGCCTCCCACCCTTCAAGAGCTCCGGGCCACCTGGGTCATCCTCTCCTCCGCCCGCCCGTTTGCCTCCTCCCCAAAGTGCTGGGAGAGAGCTCCGGGGCAGAGACCCCCACCTCCCACCCTGTGCCCACCAGGCCATGGGAAGCAGGGACCAGAAACGAGGAGCAGGAAGGGCCTTCCGGGAGACGTGTTGAAACGCCTACGTAATCCTAATCCATTTGGCCAACAACAGTCACATTCATCACTAGGGGAAGAGGGTCTTCGGCATAATATGTCACACGGTTGTTTTGCTCCCTTTCCACCTCCAGAGGGTGGCTGGAGATCTGCCGGACTCATACCTGACCTCCAGGCTACAGGGATCAGTCGTCCCCCCCTCCGAGAAAACGGCTGTTTAGGGTTAGGGTGGACTCTCTAGGGCGTCATTCCCCTCCCCAGGCTCTTCCCCCCCCCCCAAGTCTCCAGGACCTTCCCAACCCAGAACTGGCAATAAAACTTCCTCCAAATACATCAGAAGCAGGAAACCAGCCAGGGTGGCAGGGGGGCCCTTGGAGGACCCAGGGGCAAAAGGAGGACTGAAGGGTGACGGGGACACGGAGAGCCGAATGCATTTTTTTGCCTCTGTCTTCACTGTGGAAGATGAGAAGTGCTTGCCCACTCCGGAACCGCTGAGTTCGGGAGCAGTATCAAAAGACCTGAGTCAGACTGAGGTGATGAACACATGGAACTCACGGCCACAGGAGGTGGCAGCGGCGGCGACAAGCAGGGACGGCTTCAAGAGGGAATCGGATAAACATCTGGAGCAGAGGTCCATCAGTGGCTATTAGTCACCAAGGTACAGATAGGAACTCTTGGTGTCTGTGTCCAGTGATTCTCTGTGTTCTTGGTGCTTCGGGGGGGGGGGACAGTGGTCCTGGCCCCACTGGTGGACCTCCTGATGGCCCCTGGTATTTTTGGACACTGTGTGACAGAGTGTCGGACTGGATGGGCCATTGGCCTGATCCAACATTGGCTTCTCTTATGTTCTTATAAGAGGGAATTAGATAAGTATATGGAGCAGAGGTCCATCAGTGGCTCTTAGCCACGAGGTATAGATAGGAACTCTCAGTCTGGGGCACGGGATGCTCTGTCTTCTTGGTGCTTCGGGAAGTGGCAACAGTGAGAGGGGCTTCTAGTGTCCTGGCCTCACTGCTGGACCTCCTGAGGGCCCCTGGTATTTCTGGCCACTGTGTGACACAGAGTGTTGGACTGGAGGGGCCTTTGGGCTGATCCAACATGGGCGTCTCCGATGCTCTCATGTTCTTAACCCTGGTCCAGGAGCACAAGCAGGAGCCTCCGCGTGCCGACTCCCCGCCCCCCACGCCAAGAGATGCCTCCCCCTGGTCAGCCGGCTGTTCCGGCAGGGGCGGGGGCTGGACTCGGGGGCCCCCACCTCAGGCCCCCTCCCTCGTCCCGCTGGCCGCTCAGACCCCCCCTCTTCCGAGCCCCCCCCCAGCCAGCCAGGAGGGCCCCTCCGCCTCGGCCCAGCTCACCTGGGTGACCTTTTCCGTGACGTGGTGGGTGCGGTCCTTGATCTTGCTGGGGGCGATGATCTCCTTCTCGCTGGACTGGGCGGTGAGGAAGGCCTCCGCCTTGAAGTCCACAAAGTTGAGGGTGATCTGGGGGATCCGGCTGATGGCCCGGTACCGCACCAGGTCCGAGTCGGAGGAGGAGTTCCGCAGGTGGCTCCG